GGGGGCACAACTGATTGGGAAGGGGCAAGCCAGAGCTTTCCGGCTAGTACCTTTAGTCCCTTAACCCTCAATGTTGAGGAGGTAGGGAAATGAACAAGGGAAGCTTTTAGTAGCATCTTAGGGGTTAACCACGGGAAGGAGGGCTGGGGAAGTTGGGGGAATGTCTGCGGAGGCGGCAGAAGCATGCAGGGTACCTGGGTGGGAGATGGAGGGGCTGGGAGAGACGCCAGTTGCTGCACACACAAATGTTCTTGGACATATGGACAAAAACAGATGAACAGAGAGGCATAGTGAGAGACCAGATATTCATATTCAGTCCCCTACTTCGCTCTGACCCCCAGTCAGATTCTAGGGAAAGAGGCAGTGACTGCAGAGAGAGAGAGAGAGAGAGAGAGAAGACAGCCACACTGCAGAGACAGAAACCCAGAGAGAAAGCTGGGCACTGCGGAAGCAAGGGCTGCAAGGTGCCTCCAGACCCTTCACAGAGCCCCAGGGTTGGGGAGAGCGCCACTGAGAAGTAAGAAAGGCAGCCTCAAAGCCCCTGCTTGGCCCTGTAGGCGCTGTCCAGGGTTCACAAGAGCTGACATGCTCATGAAGGCCCACACAGCCCTGGCAGTGGAGAGAGAGGAGGTGTAGAGTGTGAGGGGCAGCTGGCAGCTGGGAGTTTCTCCCCTGATCTTGGCTCTCAGCCCAGTCTGGGACCCTCTGAGCCCGTGCAGGCCCATCTGACAAGGAAGCTCTGGAAAAGATCTCTCTGGAGAAGGAAGGGATGTGGGGGAGTGGAGAGGCTCACACAATTTCACCTCCTAGGTCTGCCCCTGAAGGAGGAGGAGGCGCTGCCAGAGCCTGGAAGTGAGGCCCCCACAGTGGCCTCTGAGGCCCTGGCTGAGCTGATCCATGGGGCCCTGCTGAGAAGGGGCCCAGAGATGGGCTATTTGCCGGGTGAGGCCTGCAAATGGGCAGAAATGACATAAAGGCAAAGTGAGAGACATTGGCTTGGGAAGATGGGAGCCAGGACCAAGAAAGAGAAGCAGACAAAGAGAGACTGCAGAGACCCCCCCGAAAGATGAGTGAAACTCAGAGGCAGGCAGTTGAAGAAAAAGTCAAAACTTGGCATTGACAGAACCAGAGAAATAGAAACAGGACGACTAAGAGACAGGAAAAAGACACACAGAAAGATAGATGGAATTCAGAGAACTGAAGTTAGAGAAATGGTAGAACAGAAAGAGGAAATACAAAACTAGCAGATTCCAGTAGATCCAGGATCGTAAAATCAGAGAACATTAGTAATACTAATCAGAAATAAAGAGCTCCAGAGAGAGCAAAACAGAGAAGAGAGAAAGGGGTAACCGAGAGAACCAGATTTGAATGGGGGACAGGGAGAAGCGCTAGGAGACTAAGGGGGCGGGGCCTGGGTGGAGAGAGAAAGAAGGGTCAGCTGTGAAAACTTGGGAAGAGGTGGGGAGTTTGGGTGGGCAAGGTTAAGGGTGGGGGCTTTACTTTGTGGTGGAGTCCCTTAGGGTTCATTATGGGAACCCCTCTTTCCCTCAGCCTTGCTCCTGCCCACCCCCCAACATCCTCCCACCCCCCACAGCACCTCACCCTTCCGCCAGCCAATTTGCTGCTCCTGTGCCTGACTTCCCTTGCACTGTCCCAGGATCTGATCCAGACCCCACACTAGCCACCCCTCCAGCCGGCCAGACACTTGCAGCACCCTTCCTGCCACGGGCCACAGAGCCGGGGACAGGGCCTCTGACAACAGCTGTAACCCCTAAGGGGGTCAGGGGGGCAGGCCCCACCGCGCCGGAGCTACTGACCCCGCCCCCAGGAACTACAGCCCCACCCCCTCCCGGCCCCGCCTCCCCAGTCCCGCCCCTCGGGCCTGAGGGAGGAGAGGAGGAGACCACCACTACCATCATCACCACTACAACTGTCACCACTACAGTCACCAGCCCAGGTGAGGCCATGGAAAGGGGATGGGGGTGCTGTCCAGGAGCACGGATGTGGGAGAGGAGGATGTGGGATGGATGGGGAAAGGTCGCCTGGAGCATGTGGATGAAGGGGCTCTGGGTCCAGATGGGAGAGGAGCTTCTGCTTAATAATGACAAAAGCTAATATTTATATACACTTACTATGTGCCAGGTGCCATTCTATGTCTTCTGTCTATATTACAGTTGGGTAAAGGAGCTCTCAGTACAGGTGGGAGAGAGAGCATTGAATAAAGATGGTGAGGGATGCTGGGGAGAAGACAGATGAGGACCTGTGGAGTTGTTTGGCTGGGAGGGCAAGAGCACAGGGCCTCTCTCAATCCCAGCCACTTATATCTCTTTAGTTCTGTGTAATAACAACATCTCCGAGGGTGAAGGGTACGTGGAGTCTCCGGATTTGGGGAGCACTGCCAGCCGCACCTTGGGGCTCCTAGACTGCACATACAGCATCCATGTCTACCCTGGCTACGGCATTGAAATCCAGGTAACTGGACCTAAGCGTATTACTGTGAAACTTCCAATCCCTTTTCTCTGGGCTCAGTGGTGTGCATCGTTTTAGCTGGGAAGCCAGAAAACCAGTATTCTGACTCAGATGGGCCTGTTTTCTGACTCAGATGATCTCAAAAACCCTTCTAGAGTTCTTCAAAATGGGCAACATCCCTGTGGTCTGGGTGGGGTCGCTACAGACTGGGAAAGGGAAGGCAAGGGGAGAGGGCTTAGGGAGCCACTTTCCCCAGGCTGACTTGCCCTGGCCTATGACTGGCTTTTCTAGGTGCAGACACTGAACCTGTCTCAGGAGGAGGAACTCCTGGTGCTGGCTGGTGGGGGGTCCCCAGGACTGGCCCCCCGACTCCTTGCTAACTCCTCCATGCTGGGAGAAGGACAGGTTCTTCGAAGCCCAACCAATCGACTGCTCCTGCACTTCCAGAGTCCACGGGTCCCAAGGGGTGGTGGCTTCAGAATCCACTATCAGGGTGAGAAGTCTGGGGATGCTGGTGGAAGGGCAGGGGCCACATTGGGTATAAGGGACATCTCTGGTGGCCTCCTAAGCACAGAGTATTGAGGAGGAGGTTTCCTCTTGATTAGGACCCTAGGTGGGCAGAGTCCTCAGAAAGACCCATGCACACTTATCTCACACACTCACAGATATGTGCCTAGGTGTACACATATCCAAGTAGCAATTGATCCATTCAACTTAGGGGAAAGAATGAATGAATCAGGTATAAATCTGAATTTAAGGAACTCGGAATCTGTCTAGAGAGATAGTTAAGTAATCAGAGTGATTATGATTCAATGAAATAAGGGTTATGATGAGATAGGAGAAGCAAATATCAAAAGACCTAGAGCAGGATGACTAAGCTAGGACCCACTGGATGAGTTAGCAAGGGGACAGGTGAAGGAAGAAAAAGAGGGAGACAACTGTCTTTGAAAATAGATGAATGTAAAAGTACACCTCAGGATTCAGAGAGGAGAGAAAATTGACCTCTAGAGAAGATGAAGTCATTTAACATGGAAGATAGAATTGTTCTAGCTGTCTGACCTGAGACAATATACTTAAACATTCTGTGATTCATGGTCTCATCTGAAAGATAGGGATCAGAAAATTTAACACACAATATTATTGGGAAGATCCAGTGAGTTGATACAGTACTTTATAACAGTGTCTGGTACACAGTGAGAGCTCAAAAATATCAGTCATTTCCAGGTGCAATGCCATACTCCTGTAATCCCAGCAATTTGGGAGGCTGAAGCAGGAGGACTCAAGTTCAAGGTCAGCCTCAGCAATTTAGCAAGGCCCTAAGCAATTTAGTGAGGCCCTGTCTCAAAAAATAAAAAGGGCTGGGGATGTGCCTCGGTGGTTAAATGCCCCTGCATTCAATCTCCAGTACAAAAAAAAAAAAAAAAAATCACTCATTACTATTATAGTCAAAGCACAAAAAGTGGAAAGGGAGAAATGGGATAAGAGACCAGGTTGGGAGTCAGGTTGGGTTCAGATCATAAAGGGCCTTATCAGCTCATAAGGAATTGAGACCACTTTAACCTGCAGGTGAGAGGGAAACACTAGAAACATTTTAAGCAGGGAAATGACAGCCTCATGTTTGTGATCTAGAAAGTTCCATCTGATTTGTGGGAGCAAAGACAGAGAATATATCATGTGTGACTGCATTCTTGAGAATCCATCCACAGATCTTCTATACATGTGTGCATCCATGCTAACCTGTGTCTACAGGGATCTTCCCACAGTGCAAGTGTATGTTCTAACATACATGCACGCACCAGGCAAAGGGCTCAGCCAGTGTCCCCATTCCAAACACTGCTGTCTTATTCAAGTTCCCTCCCTGTGCTCCTCAGGAACAGAGAGAGAACTGTCTGTTGGACCAATTCCACCATCATATCATTTCATGGTTTTACCTGGCTGCATGTACCATACGCACCTTATGAGCTTTGCTGACCCCAGATACTTTGTACATCTTACAGGACCCATATCCCTTCCTTATGTCCTCTGCACAGGACCTGCCCCAGGGCACATTGTGCAAGGTAGAAGCATCCACCACCACCAGGCCTATTTGTGGAGAGATCAGGGAGCTAGGGCACATACTTGGTGGTAGGAATTCGGTTATTGGGGAACAAGAGCACACCTGAGATGTTACAAAAATGGCTCCCCAGTGGCTCCTTTAAACATCCACTTCCCGGGAGCTTTGAAAATAGGACTCTTTAGGCTAAATGGAACATTTGGGGAAGCAGGGCTATTGCATAAATTGGCCTTCATTACCTGCCTCCATCTTCCCTGCTTTGCAATTCCTCCAGGCACCTCTGGGAATGAGGCCCTGTTTAAGTCCTTCCTTAACTGCATTAACTGGGGCCTGTAGTCCAGAGTGGCCTCATTATCAATTCCAAAAGGGTCAAAGGCTTTATCACCCTTCATGCAAGTCCGTCAGACTTTCTGTGTAGCTGGGTATGATGGTGAATGCTATAATCCGAGCAACTCAGGAGGCTGAGGCAGGAAGTTCAAGGCCAACCTCAGCAATTTAGCAAGCCCCTAAGGAACTTAGTGAGACCCTGTCTCAAAATAAAAAAAATAAAAAGGGCTGGGGATGTAGCTCAGGGGTTAAGCACCCCTGGGTTCATTTCCCAGTACCCTCCCCCATAAAAAAATGTGCTAAGTACAAACCCCTTTTACCTACCATTGTTTCATTTACTCCTAAGAGCAACCCTGGGAGTTGACACTGTCAGTTCAGTCTCTCACGAAAGAAGGTTTGTATGAATTTGTCACCCACCTGCAAGTTCATCACAGAGTCAACAATCAGATCTCTAAATTCTTGACTCTCAATCATACATTAATTGAGGCTAAGGGAGAGGTGACTAACATTTTCTGAGTGCCAGGGGATTTGCATGTTTCTTTTATCTAATTTTCAAGCCAATCTTCACTGTTAACAGTTATTACCATTAATGAATGAGAAACCCCCGGTGGTGAAGTCACTTGCTCAGTCATATAGCTATAAGCTGTGGAGCTAGAACTGGAACCCAGGTCAGCCAGTCTCCAAGTTGATCAGTTAGACTAGGTTTTTATGTGTCTCTATAAATAAGACTTGACTCAGGCTGGGGTGGTGGCTCAGTAGTAGAGCGCTTGCCTTGCACATGTGATGCACTGGGTTCGATACTCAGCACCACATAAAAATAACTAAAATAAAGATATTGTGTCCATGTGTAACTAAAAAATATAAGAAAAAAAGACTTGACTCAGTCTCATAGTAACAATAGACAATGACTAATATGATGGTAAAATTTGAATATGAAATTGTGTATAGGCAAGAGAGAAAGTAAATGTTGGAGGCAAGAGGGGTCAGGAAGTCTTCCTGGAATCCTGGAAGGGGTGGTACTTAAGTTAGTTTTTCTTTTTCTTTTCTTTTTTTTTTTTTTTTTTGTAACAGAGATTGATCCCAGGGGCACTTAACCACTGAGCCACATCCCCACCCTTTTTATTTTTTAGTCTGAGACAGGGACTCACTAAGTTACTGGGGTCCTCACTAACTTGCTGAGGCTGACTGAATTTGGGATCCTCCTGCCTCAGCCTCCTGAGCCACTGGGATTATAGGTATACACCACCACACCTGACTTAAGTTACTCTTTGAAAGATAAGAGCCCAGAATGGGCTTTGTAGTAGGGGCACAATTGTGAGCAAAAATATGGTGGTGGGACAGTAAAGAGTCACAAAGGTGTTGAATAGGACACCCGGGTCTCAAGTGCTGACACAAAAGTGCTGAGCGGGATGCAGCCGTGGAAGGGGTTTGGATGTCAATCCAAAGCATTCGGACTTGATTCTGTTGGTCACGGAGAAGCTAACAACTATGAAAGCCCCTGTATTCTAAAAGATGGTTTTTATAACTGTCTATCTCAGTAGACTATAGACTCCTGAAGGGCAAGGACTGAATCTTTTTCTCCTCCTCTCTGTCCCCACAACCTGGCCAAGAAAGAGCTTATTGAATTTTGAAATATGGAGAGGTAGGTCTCTTACAGACTCACTGAGGGCTGGAGAGCAAAGAAGGGCAAGAGCTCAGGCAGGCAAACTGGCATCTCCCAAGCCCCCTGCTCACCAGAGACTGCCCCTCCAGCTTTGGCTCACTTCCTCCAGGAAGCCCTCCTTGATGATCTCTGCTAAGTTCCTGTCAGGATCAGATTCAGAAGCATTGACTAACAACTGACTTTCTATTGAATTCTATTTTATTCTTGCTTCTGTGAGAATTTCAAGTGACTTTCAAAAAGAATGCAAGCAATACAATTATATAGAATAAGTAAGGGGTAAACCGCATCAGAGAATGATTATTAGAGTTACAAAAAAAATAGGCCAGGCATGGTGGCACATGCCTGTAATCAAAGTGACTGCAGAGGCTGAGGCAAGAGGATGGCAGGTTCAAGGCCAACTTAAACAACTTAGCAAGACCCTGTCTCAAAATTAAAAATTAAAAGGATTGGGCCAGATGCTAGCACATTTCTATAATCCCAGCAGCTGGGGAGACCGTGACTAGAGGATCACCAAGTTTGAGGCCAGCCTTAGCAACTTAGCAAGTTCCTATCTCAAAAGGAAGATAATTTTTTAAAAGGGCTGGGAATGTAGCTAAGTGGTACAGTATCCCTTGGTTCAATCTTCAGTACCAGGAAAAAAACAAAACAGAACAAAAACGTGAGTTGACAAGTCAGCGTTGCTAAGGACAAGCCTTAATCTTGTTCCCAGCTTTCTAGTAGCTAGTGCAAAAAGGGAAGTTATGCAGTTCTTACTACAAGAAAGGAAAACCAGATTTTCAAAGAAAGCAAAGCTTTCCATAGCACTTCATTTTCATTAGAGAATGTGTTCAGGGAACACTGAGTATAAAGATCTTTAATTACCAAATAGTCAAGATTCTTAAAGAAATTTCATGTCAATTAGTAAATTGGAGCCTCAATTTCCACATCTGGAAAATGGGTAACACAGTTTCTCTTGTCTACCTCAAAAGTACTGCATGTAGTTACTTGGGAAGCTAAATTAGCTCTGCAAATATTGTTTGTTATTCTTAGAGCTGGATGGAGTTTGAAATAGTCAATTGATTTACCTGAGGCCACATAGCCAGTGGGTCCAGAATAACATCTTTGTTTTTTTAATCTTTTATTTTTTATTCCAATTTGTTATATATGACAGCAGAATGCATTACAGTTCATATTACACATATAGAGAACAATTTTTCATATCTCTGGTTGTATACAAAGTATATTCACACCATTCATGTCTTCATACATGTACTTAAGGGAATGATGTCCATCTTCAGAATAACATCTTTGAGCCTCAGTTACCTCACCTATAAAATGGAGGCCAAAATGGGCAAATTACAAAGATCAGAGGAGATGAAATGGCTTCTTCATGAGACAGGGAACCTGTGTAAGGAGCTCATATTCTTCAGTGCGGACCCCATTATACGGCCTGACTGTGTCTCCTGGGAAAGTGCTGGGGGACTGCTGTAGAGGGTGACATGAACAATGGATCCTCCTTCTCCCTGTTCTTCCTGGTTCAGCCTACCTCCTGAGCTGTGGCTTCCCTCCCCGGCCGGCCCATGGGGATGTCAGTGTGACAGATCTACACCCTGGTGGCACTGCCACCTTCCACTGTGATTCCGGCTACCAGCTGCAGGGTGAGGAGACTCTCATCTGCCTCAATGGCACCCGGCCAGCCTGGAATGGAGAGCCCCCTAGCTGCATGGGTGAGTCTCTGCCATAAGAGTTGGGGGCTTCTTTTCTGGGAACCTCATTGGGAGAGTCCGTTTGTAGAAGTCTCTGTCTTTAGGAAAAACTCATCCTGAAGGGGTTTCTTTTCTGAAGAGTCCCTCTCCTTTGGCATCCCTCGGGAGTTCTTCCCACTGAGGATTCTATCCTTAGAACCTCCATTCTTGGGTATTCTCCCTCTTGGGATGGCTCTTCTTTCTTTGGAGAGCCCTCATCCTGGAGGAAGCCATTCTTGGGGTCCATCTCTGGTGGTTCTGTCTCCTGGAGGGTCTTCCTCCTGTGATCTCCCATCCTGTGGAGTCCTTATTCTGGGAATTCCCATCTTGAACGTCTCTCATCTGGGAGTTTCAATTTGGGGGATTCCCATAACTCACAGTTACAGGGTGTCCCTGTTCAGGGAATCTTCATTTTAGCAGACTCTTCATTCTGGAGGTCGTCCAACCAAGGAGAGTCCATCCAATGGGGGAGGGGTCCTATTTCAGGCCTGGTTCCCCTCTTCAGTGATGCCCTGGAGAAGGTCCCGCCCCCTGGAGTGCATTCATGGGGCAGAGACCATCCCTGGCCCAACCCAAAGATGTAGATGCAAAAGTTCTGAAGATGCCCTGAGAAAGGCTGAGGCCCCAAGGAGAAGGACAAGTCACCTTAAGCTGGTCTTAACCTGCCTTCCTCTGCCCACAGCATCCTGTGGTGGCACCATCCACAATGCTACACTGGGCCGCATCGTGTCTCCTGAGCCTGGGGGAGCCGCAGGGCCTAACCTCACCTGCCGTTGGGTCATTGAAGCAGCTGAGGGACGCCGGCTGCACTTGCACTTTGAGAGGGTCTCGCTGGATGAGGACAATGACCGGTGAGGGTCTGGGCCTTGAATCAGAGGTCCCTACCTAGGGGAAGTAGGGAGGCTACGGTGGGGAGTCAGATCTGAGCTGGATCCATGTTGAAATATGTATGAAACAGAGTTTAATCCTAACCATTTCTTAGGGAATGTAGCTGGGCAACCTTGGATGAATCAGCTAACTTCTGTAACTCAATTTTTTATCTGTAGAATAAAGATGGTATCACTCTACAGGCATAATTAATAAATTAATTAAGATATGCAAAGTAGCTGGGCACAGTGGCACACACCTGTAATCCCAGTAGCTTGGGAGGCTGAGGTAGGAGGATCACAAGTTCAAAGCCAGCCTCAGCAACTTAGTGAGGCCCTAAGCAACTCAGCAAGACCCTGTCTCTAAATAAAATATAAAAAGGGCTGGGGA